CCCCCCCCTCCCAACTTCCTCTGCAGTTTTCTCTGAGCAATTCATGTGTTGTGGTTTGGTTTGGAAGTGACTGTCTCTTCACAGAGTTAATTTTGATGGCCGTTCCAATCCATTAATAGGCCACACAACTTGCTTTCCCACTTTTTCCCCCTTCTTGCATCATATGCTGCTGGTGTTTTCTGCATGCTGTCTAAGAGAAGTTTTTGCACATAATGTAGTGGGGAAAAGTTTGGCCCTAGCTAAGAGTGCAAATGATCTGTAGGGATGCTTAACTGGCAAGCATTTGATTATTGCTTTTATGTGTAGCTGGCTAGTCAAAGATAGGCTTCTGGCTCTTAATGGGAGGGGGGGATGTGAAGTGTACATAGAGGATTTCTGTGTTGTTAGAGCTGGAAGAAAATTTGGAAATACTTCAGATAGCGCAGCTGGCAGACTAGGCCCTGTGTGAAACTACTTAAAGGGATGGGAAAGACTTGTTCAAACCTGCATGCCGCAGCTTAATTGTTCAGTTAACCATACAACAACTTGCCCCCATCCCGCCTCCTTCCTTCATTCCTTACTCCACCTCATTGTGTTTGAGATTAGATGATCGCAGGTCAAAGTGTTTTAATCCTTCTTTGAACTTGGTGGGTAATAAAAGACTCTTTAGAAATTAGAGGTGTTCAAGCTGCATTAGTCAGGTAGAAGGTAGGACGAACTAGGTTGTTGGCTATGAAAGCTCATACCTCTCTGGACAAGTTAGTCTTTAGAAACTGAAAATCTTTACTAAACTTCAGTGGTGGTAGGACTTTTTTTTGGTCTTTGTTCTAAGTGCAAGGCTGTCAGTACCCTGGAGAGGACTGAAAGATGATGTTCTTGGTACAAGTGAAAAACAAACCAAGAAAACACAAAGGTGATAGATGTCTTGTGTATAATTACGTAAGGACTGTGCTATGGTTAAAAACTGTCCTGCATGGAACTCTCTAAAATATTCTAAGGAAGGATATAAGAGAATTGTATGGGGGTCGTATTGAAATCAGATAGCCCTTCACTGCTAGCTCCAGTTGGGATAATGAG